GAGTTGGGTTACTAGGCATTTGTAAACTGCCTACGTCAAAGTCAAAAATTTCTCCAGAGTTCCAAACCAGTTCCCAAACGCTATTTAATTATCCTTTCTTCTGCATCACTGTCCGTCCCACCCCCCCCCGCCCATCAGATCACTACCATCAGCACAGACTTATGCTGTAATCTCATCCATCTTAAAAACACAAAACAACATGAACAACAAAAACAAGCCTGTCTTCATCCCACTCTATCTGCCCCAAACCTCCAACAGACATCCTGATTTCTCTGCTCTTCTTTATGGCAGAAGTCCTTGAATGAGTTCTCCGATTTCTCTCACAGGATTCTCACTTAAATCTGTTCCATTCAGGCTTTCAGTCTCAGCACTATACCAAACCATCTTACCAAGGTCAGTTATCTGCTATACCAGCAGTTAATTGTCAGGCCTCTTCTCTCAATCTCTTTACGGCATCTGACACAGTTAGTTGTTCACTCCTTGAAATCACTTCCTTAATTTGGCTTTTCGAAGACCTCAAACTCATGGCTTTCTTTCTACCTCCTCCTTATCTTCTGAACCTGTAACCCTTAGAGTATTCTAAGACTTAGTGCTTGAACCTTTTTTTATTACTTTTATCCATATTCACTTCATTAATGGTTTCATATTAATGTTCTTAAAGTGAGATTATACATCTATATCTAACTTAAGGGTTCACTGTCATCCTCAAATAAAGTCAATTATAGATATCTCTGCCATTATTTGGGGAAGAAGATGCAGATAAAAAAACAGATTCAAATAGAAACAAAAAACTTAAAAAGAAAAATAAGTGAAAAATTTCAAGAGACTATCACCATCTTTCTTTAAATTCAATATTCCTGATAACTTAAAAGCTAAAAATTACAAATTTAAATAGATAAATACCAAAACAAATACTTTTTATTCTACTAATTTATTACATACATTAGAAATATTAAGATACTAAAATAATTTCATTAAAATGTAAATCAGGGCCTTAACTATGGTTCTGGTCCCGAGAGTGTAACAGTAATATCTTATATTAATGTAGACTTAATTCAAAAGTCTTTTTATAGCAATTATCTCACTTAACCCTAAAAAAAGACTCCATAAGGATATTACAGAAAATACTATTTTAACCAGCAGTTTCATGACCGCTCACATAACAGGCTTTCAATAAGCAAATATAATGAATTTAAAATTAGTTGGAGAACTCCTAAATCCATCCCTACTACATTTTAAAATTCATGTTCAACTGATGACAGGTCATTAATGTCATCTTTTTGTACTTAGTGTAACATTACAAAAAAGAAATTTACAGTTTCTTTTTAATGCTAATGAATGAAACTAAGTCCTTTATAAACACATATAAGAGACGTGCTGTATTTCATTTACTTCCATGACTAGACAGACAATGAAAATGATGATTTTTATTATATTAACCCTGACGGGGTACACAGCTGTTGCCTGCCTCTATCATAATAAAAAAGACTTATTTTTGCAAGTAAGAAGGAGAATACATTTATAGTTAAGCACTCACTAGTAATGCATGACCCCTTTTCTCTCACCAATATTCCTACCCCAAATGATGTGGCCTACACTGCCTGCCAACCCGAGGGTTAGAATTAGAAGCATGTAGAGTAGAGCAAGGCTTTCTAAAGTGGTCATAATTGATTTGTTGGTCATATAATTAAAAAATGATAATAATTTATATAAAAATAATATTGAACATATTGTGTACAACAGTAATTCTGTAGAAAAATCAATTCAGAATCAAATCGATCTGTCCTGAAGGCTCCCACGGTCAGTGCTTCCAGTCCTGAAGATTGAGGAGCAACCCCTTCCCTTCTACTGCTAAGCACATCAAGTATCTGTGCACTCTTCCAAAGTCCTACCTCCCAGAACTCCGTCTCTAAAATGTCCCCATCACACCTCATATTCTATCCTACCAATCCAATTTCTCATTATAAAATGTATTTGTCCTTATTAAGTTCCTGTTATCCTTTTATTCTCCTCTATTTCCAAAACCATCAACATACTTTTCTACCTTTGCCTCCCTTCCTACCTCATTAGCATTTCACATTCCTCTTCAAAGGAGAACTGCCCTAGACCTCAAACCCTAGTCCCAACAGAACAGTCAAATCAGAATGCAACACCAATATCATATCTGATCACACACTTGACATTCTCTCCTGGCTCTCCTTAATTCACACTCTGCAATTATTAAGTCAGAAGTCAACAGTTTTGTTATATCCCAGTTCTTTTCTACACTCTATTCTATGCATAAATCCATCTCTTTCCAGAATCTTGAACTGTCATCTCTAAATTACTTATACAAACAACCTAACATCCCTGTAAATATTTAGTCCTGTGCTATGAGTGTGCCAGAGAGCAATACAATAATGTTTCATTAACCCAAATTCAACATATCCAAAATCAAATTCATCATCTAAGACTCTCCATTCTCCCCAAAAAGAAAATTTACCCATTCTTTGGACTTCTCTATTCCTAGTAACAGCAAAAAATCAATTTTGACCACCATAACAAAAACTCTCCTTTAAAAACCTAAAAAGTCTAACTTTCAAGCATAGGCATTTGAAAAAAAGATTAAGACTACAATCTTTTCAGAGGTAGATCCAGAAAGAAAATATTCCCTAACAGGAAGCATATAAGCATTAATACTAGAAAGGAAAAAATGAACCCTGGGGAGGGGGGGGGCGGTTATAATGAGCTTCTAAGTGCCTTTGAATTTTATTTGTAATTGAAAGGACCCACATAGGTCATCTACTTCAACGTCCTCATTTTACAATTGAGAAAAATGAAAGTCCTTTCTTGAGAACTAAAATGACTGGTCCAACATTACATAGAAGTTCCTAGCTCCTTCCAATTTCTCCCATTCTCTGATCACTGCTTCAGATGTGAGGCTGTACCACTTTCTGAAGAAGACCCTCTTCTCTATGCCCAGTGGGTATCAGAGATCACGTGCCTAATAATGTTGTCATGTCTAACACAAGAGAAATGTATTCCTAGCATTCTGAGGTAGATTCTGAGTTGACTTTTCTACAGAAGTATTGTTGTACACAATATGTTTAATATTATCTTTGTACAAATTATTATAGTTTTTTAATTCTCTAGTATTATTAGTTAGCCTAATTCTCTAATTAAGGTATATTATGGATTTTGGTGGGCTGTTTATTCATGTAACCACTAAGTTTCCTATTTATGAGAAAGTAAGTTCCAAGTTATAAACCATTTTATAAGTTTTAAGGTATAATCAATCCCATTTTAAGTTAGGAAGTACCAATACACAATGATACAAAATTATAAACTGAATGTAATAAGCTAAAAACACATTTCAGAAAAAGTGCCATTTTATACAAAGCTCCACCTCAGGGACCATTTATTTTTAAAGTTAGGTATTTTGAACATTTAGCACAGGATATAATCTACATACACCTTTTTATTAATATTTCACTGGAAAACCGAAGTTAAAAAAAATGAAACATTTCTATACTCATTTAGGAAAAACAAAACTTTTCGTGTATATTTTCATGTAGAGAGCTATAATAGGTAAGAAGAAAAATATTATCATTTCATATATAAAGATTTGACAATGTATACATTCTACAATATCTAGAGCTAGTTCCAAATATGTATGGGTAAATGAATTATATCTGAACAGATAAGTGGAAATTCAAAAAACATCCAAATACATTTTTCTTTCCTCTTGAGATAAAGTTTATGTTTCATGAATTAAAATTTGTTTGATAAATCTAATTTTAAAATTTCTACTCAGTACATTAAATCAATGGATATTCTTCACTCATTCATTTAATCTGTTCAACAACAAAAAACAATGAGCCCCTAGAACCTGCTACACACTGTATTAACTACTTTAGATTTATGATAAAAAAACATCAAATCAGTTCCTGTCCTCAAGAAGCTTAAAAAAAAACCTTGAGTTAACTGTATGTACCCAAGTGATAATGACATCTGAATTTCAGTTGGTCATTTTTAAAAAACACTAAAAAATATAACCAAATTAATTTTCCAAAAAAAATAACCAATACAATAGTAATTTTGAAGACACTGAATAGTCTCATCTATATAAAGTAGCCTCACAAAGGAGCCGAAAGCACTATTTTTGCAGCGCTCTAATAATATATGTTAATAGTGGTTTTTGCTATGAAAATAAATCAAAAGCTACTATGTACTGTGATAATGAAAATCAAGCATTTGGAAATGGCACCTTCGACTATTCTGAAAATAAAGCAAAATGCATAAAGTATTATACGATAGTCATACATTGTCAGGGACCATTTTAAGTTAGGAACTTAATGCTCAGTTCTAAATATATAATTATTTACAAACCTGAATAATAAAGTAGCTCCATAGCATATCTTACAAATGATCACAACTATGCATTTTGGATTTTGTCAGCTACAAGTTTTTAATGAAAAAGGCCTTAATGTTTTCTGGAGATTTTATTTTTCACAAACTCAAATCAATATTCTGCTTGCTTATTACCAAGTACTATAACTTTTTTCATCCATACTAACCATACCTATATTTAGATATTACATAGATATTAACTATAATACCTATTAAATTATTAAAAACTCTTGATATATGAGAAACATTCTTCAATTTAGAGCCATACCCTTCCAAAGCAAAATGCAATGTAAATCAACCATTCTAAAAAGTCAAGAAAAATCCTACTGACATTTTTTCATGAAATTTTACACTGAAATATTTTTCATCATTCATCAGTTAAAACATTTTTTAAATCTTTAAAAGCATTACGAAAACATCTTTACTGAATTTATGCATTCTACTTAGTAGTGGAATAAATGGGTATTTTGTCACTATTTACATATAAGGAAATCAAGGCACAAAGGTGTCCATTTTGTAAGCTGCAAGGTCACTTCCTAAGCAAGCAACTGACCCTACCCCATCAAATTATATGTGCGCCACTTTCAAGTGCCACAAAACAATTACGGTACCTTAAAGCAGCTGCCTCTGCAATGCCTATGTGCATTCCATTTTATCTAGAGGGTTATGGCAACAAGCTCACACAAGAAAAGCTGGAAAGGAAGGATTACGAAAACAAAAAGAAAACACTTATTTTTGGTAGGGAACCATTTATTTTAATATAATGAGATGTAAACAGTGTTTAATATAGTATCAAATAACTAAGTTGTTTCTTCCATTTTCAAAAAAAACTCACCTTTCAGTTAGATCATGCAAAATTAGAGCCTACCCATCCTTGCAGACGTAAGTTAGAAAAACGAGGAAAAAATCCTGTAGCAAGTAATTCAGTACATGATAATGCAAAGAGAGAAATGAACAAAAAATAAAATTTAGATAAATTAGGAAAAGGTTGCTACCATAATTACAACTCCATCTTAAATATTAAATGCTTCCTTTCGTTCAGCTGCAGACTATGATAAGCATCATTTATTCTGTTATTAGAAAATAAAGAATTCCAAAACTTTTCTTATTGAATGCTTGAGAAATTTTATACCATGTACTTTATTCAAAGGTTCGACATAAATATACTTTTCCTAACTTAGAAACTTAGGGCATGAGGAAAGCTGTTCCTGAGAGTTAATAAGACTGAAACTGCATGTGCGAAGATGATATAGTGCTATCAACCACCAGAAAAGTTAAAGTTACCTACCATCCAAATTAAATTCAAGAACATCAGGCGGGTTGAATAACCAATAAATCAATTACATCGATTACCGGACAGAAATAAGACTTGGTTAATACGTGAATCTAACACCAAAGGAAAAAATGAAAATATAACCCAAGGATAGGACTCGCCCGAGTCGTATGAAAGTACCCCGTCTAGCTGGGGATCAGTTAATCAATAGGCTACAGGACAGGTTGTGAACGTTCAGGTCAGATGTGCTCTCTGTTCATCGTTATTCCAGCTCATCATCAGCAAGTGCAAGAGAAGGCGCCTGAGGACCGAAGCTAGGGGGCACGCTGTAGCAAGGGGAGAAGAAAAACGGGAAAGGTGCAATGGATGCTGCATAGTTGAATAATTATCTGGGTGGCACAATGGGCGAGAACTGCCGACATCGGAGCCGAGGGAGCGGCTCCCCAACTCGCCACGAGGCACCCCCCACCCCCAGGCATCGGAGGCAACAGCCCCGCTCCGCCTGCTCCCCAGCGGAGAAAGGGATCCCCGCACTGGCTTCACCGTTAGATCTTCAGACCCAGACCCGCGGCGCAAGCACGCAAACGCGGGGCTTCCTTTACGGAGCCCCCCGGCCCCCGGCGCTGCAGCCACCCCCGCAGCCAGGAGGCCGGGTGGCTGCCCGGGGGTGCAGGGCAGGGGCGCTCAGACGGTGGCACCTCAGGTGAGACCCGCAGTCTCCCCGCCTCGGGCCGGTCCCTGCAACCGAGACCCAGACGCGCCGGCCGGCCGGCCGCCGTCTCCCGCGGCACCCAGCCCTGCTGGCGGGTGGGCGTCGGGAGATCAGGAACCGAGATGGGGGTGGGGGACGTTGCGGGGGAGGCGCGCCCATCCCCGTAACCTTTGCTGGGCTCGAGCTCCACGCACCGCTCTCCGTCCTGGCCGGTGGGGAAGAGTTCCTCCCCGGCACCCTCTCCCCCAAAAAACAATTCCTGGGAGGCTCGCGCTCACCGAGATCTTGGGGGCTCTTGCCTTAGCCCTTCTGCATGCTTCGGCGGCGGCCGCCGGTCCTCCTCTGCTCCCCGGACTCCCCCTAGAGCCTCCAGGGGAGTCAGGCTCCCGGGGGGAACCCGCTCGGGCAGTGGCCGACGCACCGGGCCACGGGGAACGCCGCCAGAGGCGCCCACCGGTCGTCGGATCCACAGTGTGCTCGACGCGCGAGCGAACAACACCGAGCGCCGCTGCCGCCGCCCCCCACCCGCCCCCTCCCCGCGCGCCCCGCTCCACAACCGGGCGCGGGGACCAGCGCCTGAAGCAGGGGGGACCGCTGGACTCTCGCCACCTAACCTCCCACCCTTCCCAGCAGGAGCTATTCCCCGCCAGTCAGCGTCTTCCAACTTCAGATTCTCGCTTTCCTCTTCAGCCCCGGGAACCGAGGTGCAGCCGTGGAGAGAAACTCAGCCTCCGCCCCCTCGCCCATAAGCGGGGATGAGTATCAATCTTCCCCCCTTTCCTGAGGTTTCATGGTATTGCCCAATCCTCAATTTGGGGGAGGGGACGGAGAGAACACAGCCTGGCCAGGGAATGAGGGAAGATGATAGCCAATTGAATGAACCATCCAATCGGGGGCGGGGTCAAAGAGATGCCTGCCGGCCCCGCCCCCTAGTCTAAACTACATTTCCCATTGTGCCTCTGGTTTCCTGTCGCGCTGCACGCCGGGAGTGCAGGACTCCGACCGGCAAAGTATATCGGAATTCGTAGTCTTAAGTCAAAAAGGTCCTGAAAGTTATAAGCTAATATAGTTCTATTTCTAGATACATGTTCCAAATTATCAGTTATGTGGTATTTATTCTAATACTAATTAATTTATTTAAAGTGTCATAAATTTTTGCTTAGCAAAGGAACTAAACAATGTGCGCATTGGTAATCTTTCAGGACCTGGGAGCCGCCGCTTCTTCCGCCGGGGCCTGGTCTCCGCAGCTCTACCGCCGTCATGTCGGCTGCGATTGCAGCTCTGGCTGCTTCCTATGGTTCGGGTTCAGGGTCCGAATCGGACTCGGACAGTGAGGGCGGACGGTGTCCGCTGCCAGCGGCGGACTCCCTCATGCACTTGACCAAGTCGCCTTCCGCCAAGCCCTCTCTGGCGGTGGCGGTGGACGCGGCTCCGGAGGTGGCAGTTAAGGTAAGCGCTTTTGCCCCGGACGCGGTGCGGGAATGGGCTTCTACTCCAGAACCTGGCGGTGGCTTGTTGGGCCCCGTGTTACCTCTTGCTCCGTGCCGAGAGACGAGTTGCTGACGCTTGGAGTTCTTCTCCTCTCCACCTGCATCCTCCTCGGGAGAAGCCAGGAAGTGGGAGTTCAGGACAGCGCTCCGCTGCTCCCCGCCTTCGCCTCCCGCGGAGAGAGGGAGTGAAAGTTGAATGTATGGATTAGGATGTGGCCTGGCTGGAGCAGGTGTCATCTCAAAAGATAAGAAAGGCTATAACTCAGGACTTCTCAAACTAGAGCGGATGCCTTCACTGGTTGTGAGCAGTGGCCTGGCTTTGTTTTGTTTTTGAAGTTTGAACTGGATTCCCAGCTCCACCCCCTTGTCTGGACTTGGCCGAGTTTCCTACCTGTGCAATAGAGATCATCTTAAAAGCACATATTGTGTGAGTGGATTATTGTGGAGGTGAAGTGAAACGGCGTAAATGGAGCGTATAGCCTGATATCTAATATAGTGCGATAAGTGTTGTTAGCTCTTTTGATTGTATAGGTCCATACAGTGAGAAAAGAACCTGGATTGCAGAAGGAATGCATGACCCCAGTTGAGAGAAGTGATGGAGAAATTGGGTTATATAGTTGATTTAACAAATATGGAACACATGTTATTTATCAGGAACTGTTCTAAAGGCTGATGACACAGAGGCCAACAAGCCAGGCATCTTTGCCATCATGGGTCACACATTCAATGGAAGAGGCAGCCAAAAAATGTGAGCAGATAGAGTGGCAGATTGGACTGCGTACTGTGAAGGGGGGAAATAGAGTATTATGATAGAGAATAATGCAGGAGTAGGACTTCAATAGATAGGTCAGGGAAGTCCTCTCTGAAGCCAGCCACGCTCAAGCGAAGGCTAGAGATCCCAGGCAAAGGAGACAGCAAGCCTTGAGATGGCACAGAGTTTAATGTGTTCGAATAGCGGAGGGGAAGTCAGTGTGTCTGGAGCCCAGGGAGAGCATCTGCCAATTGGTAGCCTAGGCCCCAAAGCAGGTGGTGATCAGAAGCTCGGGGGAGGCAGTGTGCAAAAATTCCTTGGTATTTATGATGTTCGCAGGGCCATTGTGTTATCACTTACGTCATTTACAAATTCCCCAAACTTATACATCAACTCCTGAGCCCTCATTCCTTTCACAGCTCAGGTTTTGGGATCTCTCTCCTACTTCTTCATTGCATTTTCTCCTCAACCCAGAGCAGCCTGGTTGTAGCTTCTTGGGCAAACTCTTGGAGTTGTAAGGTACCATAAAGCATTTAAAGCACTCTGCCAGGCACACTATTCTTATTATGTCCGATTGTAAACTCCTTGCTAGCTCCAGAGCTATTAAGCCTCTTTCTTAGGATGGCTCTCAGGCACCTTCAGTCCCATTTTGAATAATGATTCCAACCCATTAGTCCAAGCCAAGAAGAGGGGTCTTCCTTTACTCTTCTTCCTCAGCCCTTGAAGCTAGTCATTCGGCTTATTCTAACATTTCTGCCAGGCCCTACACTAGGCCATAAAATTAGCCTCAATAAATTTTAAATCATGCTATCATGTTCTGTGACCACAGTGCATCTAAGCTGAATCAGCCACAAAGGATAACTATAAATCCCATCTTTGAAATATGAAATTGTACTTGTTAGTAACTTATGAGCCAAAAAAAAAAGTAATAGAGAATATTTTGAACTGAACAATCAGGGAAATAATATTATTCAGAACTTGTGAGGTACAGCCATGGCAACATTTAAGTATAGTCTTAAATACATGTAATAGAAAAGAAGAAAGTCAGAAAGTTAGTATGGTAGGCATCCTCTCTCTTGGATTACTTTTTTAAAATCATTCCATTCTTTTCCTGTACTCACTTCTAACTTATGCCCTCAATTTCTGGTAAGTGGTTAGTCCTAAAACTTAAAACATGTCTGAGTTGATACCTTTGCCTTAGTGAACAGTGCAAGAACTCTTCACTTAGCTATTATTGTCATTCTTTTAAAACTCAAAAGATGACAGCAAGTGAGTCTGATTCTTGGCATCTCATTATGCAAGAGATCTGTTTCTGCCTGTATGCATACTTGAGAAGGTCTTTAAGTGAGGGCTAGCTGGTGGCAGCTACTTTGTTTTAGTTTGTCGTTAAAATGCTTTTATTTAACCCTCTTTCTTGAAGGGTATTTTCACTGGGTTGGGTTTGCTTAGTTGACAAGTATATTCTCAGCATATTTAAAATACTCTGTCTTCTGATCTTTATTGTTACTGATTGTTACTGATAACAAGTCAGCTGTTAGTGTAGTTGTTTTTCTTTTTTCTTTTGACTGCTTCTAAGACACTTGCCCTAAACCCCTTTTATTTGGGGGTATAGTTTCATTACTTATATTCATTTTTGGATACATACTTATGAATATCTTTTTATTTGTCCTGCTAAGAATTTGCCAGGTTTCTTTAATTGTGAATTAATTAGTTTGGAGTATACATCTTTAAACATTTCTGGAAAGTACTCAGTGCTTATCTTTTCAAATATTATTTTAGTCCTCTTTTCTCTTATTCTAGAATTCCAATTTAACATATTTGTGTTTTCCAGTGTATGACAATAACTATTTTTGGTTAAAATTTTATTTTAAGCTTGGCCGCCAGCGTTCCTCAGTGGTTGAGTGTTGACCTATGAACCAGGAAGGTTATGGTTCAATTCCCAGTCAGGGCACATGTTTGGATTGTGGGCTCGATCCCCAGTGTGGGGTGTGCAAAGGCAGCCAATAAATGATTCTCTCTGATCATTGATGTTTCTATGTCTCTCTTCCTCTCCCTTCCTCTCTGAAATCAATAAAAATATTTTATTTTAATGCAACATTGTCAGATTTTACACTTTGGAAATTATGTAATGAGCCCTATTGGATGGTAACAGTTGCTTATTAATTGACTTTAAAGTTGAAAAACTAAAGCAAACCTGGCTTTCTCTCATTTCAGTTAATAACTTACTTTTCACCGATGTATCCCTTGCTTTAGTATAGTCTACATGAGTAAAATGAAAATTTTGTCTCTAATTTTGAGTATATTTTAAAATTTCTTCTTCATGGGTGATCTTTCTCTTATTTGTGAGCTTCAAATGATAGCCCTGTCCCCCTGCATTTGTTAAGAGTCAAACTCAAAAAAATCCTATCTAATAAAAGAGAAACATGGTAATTAGCCGTACCTCCGCTACCCTTCCCATGGGCTAATCAGGGCTATATGCAAATTAATTGCCAGCCAAGATGGCAGCTGGCAGCCAGGCAGCTTGAAGCGAACATGAGGCTTGCTTGCTTCAGTGACAGAGGAAGCCAATGTTCCCCACCTGCCGCTGCCGGCCTCTGAGCTTGCAGTTTGAAACATTGTTACAAATATAGAAGCTAAACAAAACCCCAGAAACCTGCTTTCAGCCAGCTGGGATCTCAGAGCTGGAGTTGATACAGTGTTTCAGTTATAGAACCCAAACAAACCAGATACCTGCTTTCAACAGCGGAGGCCTAAGAGCTGGAGCCAAGCCTCAAAGCTAAAGCTGGCCCAGAATTTAAAAAAAAAAGAAAAAAAGGAGCGGTTGGGAGCTTCAGTCACCTGCCAGCCTGAAAATAGCCCTCAGCCCTTCACCCAGACTGGCCAGGCACCCCAGTGGGGACCCCCACCCTGAAGGGGGTGTGACCAGCTGCAAACATCCATCAGCCCCTCACCCAGGCTGTCCAGGCACCCAAGCGGGACCCCCACCCTGATCCAGGACACCCTTTAGGGCAAACCAGCCGGCCCCCCCCTGTGCACCAGGCCTCTATCCTATATAGTAAAAGGGTAATATGCCTCCCAGCGCTGGGATCAGCGGAGCCACGAGGCCTCCCGGCACCGGGATCAGCGTGACAGGGGGCAGCGCCCAAACCCCCTGATCGCCCTGCAGCTCTGTGTGTGACAGGGGGCGGGGCCACAACCTCCCTATCCACCCTGCTCTGTTCGTGACGGGGAAGGCACCCCAACCCCCTGATCAGCCCTGCTCTGTGCCTGATGGGGGGGAGCTCCCCAACCTCCTGATCGCCCTGTGGCTCTGTGGATGACAGGGTGCGGTGCCCCAACCCCCGCGCCCCCCACGGGCCCTGTTCTGTGTATGACGGGGTAGAGCCATAACCCCCCATCGGCCCTGCCCTGAGTGTGACAGGGTGCGGCACCCCAACCCCCTGCTCTGCCCTGCTCTGGGTGTGACAGGGGGTGGTGCCCTAACTCCCCTATCAGCCCTACTCTGTGAGTGACAGGGGGGAGCTCCCCAACCCCCTGATCGACCCTGCTCTGTGCGTGACAGGGTACAGAGCCCCAACCCCCCTGATGGGCCTGCTCTGTGTGTGGCAGGGGGCAGCGCCCCAACCCCCTGATTGGCCGGCACTTTATGTGACAGGGGGCAGCGCCCCAACCCTCTGATTGGCTCTGCTCTGTGCGTGACGGGGTGGCGCCGCAACCTCCCCATTGACCCTGCCTTGAGTGTGACAGGGGGCGGTGCCCCAACCCCCCAATCGGCCCTACCCAGAACGTGGCTGAGGGTGGCATCGAAACCTCCCGATCCGCCCTGCTCTGTGCATGACAGGGGGTGGCACCCCAACTCCCCAATCAGCCCTGCTCTGAGCCCGACCAGGGGCTGCACCTAGGGATTGGGCCTGCCCTCTGCCACCTGGGAGCAGGCCTAAGCCAGCAGGTCGTTATCTCCCGAGGGGTCCCAGACTGCGAGAGGGCACAGACCTGGCTGAGGGACCCCCCCCCAGGCCCCCTGAGTGCACAAATTTTTGTGCACCGGGCCTCTAGTCTATATATATAAAAGCCTAAGCGGCCATTATGACCGAACAACTGGAATGACCGGTCAACCAGTCAGTATGAGACGCATTGACCACCAAGGGGCAGACACTCAACGCAGGAGCTGCCACCTGGTGGTCAGTGGGCTCCTACAGCCAACCTCC